TAAAATATAAAAGCTTTCTTACCTCGAGAAAATACAAAAAATGCATAAGAATATGAAATGAGAAATATAACCTTTACGATTGTTTACATCTGCTGAGCGAAACCGATAAATTCCTTATTCTGTTCTAATCGAGGTGATTTTCGTAGAAATTATGATTTTTTCTTTTAGAAAAATAAGATACTAGATACGTGTAGTATTTTTGGTTAGGTTAGATAAGGTTTGGTATTTTAGTTTGATTCACTTTATGAACGATAACTTATATAATGTTGCAGTATTCGGTACTGGATAGTACCACCACAATGTTACCTTAGCGGTCAACTCTAGAAGTAGCAGATACTATTACATTCTATTTTTCGTTCATAAAATGAAACAAAGTAACTTACCGAACCTCCCCTAAAATATTGGTTATCTATTTTAATATAAAAAAACGAAAAAACCTTCGAAGACACTATTACGTTTAAGTTAAACTTCTAACATTCCCAAAAGTAGCAGGTACTGTTGTGCTATATTCCAACAGGACTCAAGGACGGCCATTGGCAGCATCTCAGCACTCAAGATGGAAAAATCATGACAGTAATAATAAGCAAAACTTATTCCTCGTGCGCTGTTATTTTCTCGAGGTAAGAATATTTTTATCTTCTATGGAGAAATCTCAGGTCGGTATAGGCGCGCCACGGTCAAGTATTACCATGACGCTTTACCCCGGTACTAAGGTGCACAATACAATACAATTGTGATGATAAATCAAATGTGTAAAAGCCAACAGCCATCCAACCGAAATGGTTAAACAAACTAAGCTTGTCGAACAAGAAAAGGAGCGTGTGTTAATGCATTCTCAGGGTGTGAGTAGCAGTAAATGGAAGCAACATGGATACCTCAAACAACCTAAGAACTAAGTATCCATTATACTCAATGAATCAATACAGGGTACTTTAGCGACGGGACGCCTGATCCCTTAAATCACGTCACTGATATATTATAGCAGCTGACCCATTAAAGAATCGATATATTTGAGATGCTATTACCAATTGTTGTGACGGGCATAAGGTCAAATTCACAACTGATAGCACCTTACAAAAACACACAGCCAGTAATCAAAAGCACTAGTAGTAAGTACATACTTCTCACGTTTGTAAATATAACCCTCTCCTTTATTAGGAACTTATTACCGGCCAGCTCCACACGCCCACCTTCTCACGATTCTAATATAACCCTTGCGGCCACTGTGGTCGCCTCTTATACCAGCGATAATCTTACCCTTCTCCGGCTGCTAAGGAGGAACAGGCCACTATGTTAGTGAAGCACCAAATTTTAAAATAACATGCCGAAGCTACCTTACCAACATCAATTCTAACAGCACTCCTTCATAGCACCAACTTTATTTTTAAATAATCAACATTAAATGGTCGAGCTGATGAATGGATACAAAGCAAGGTTGCTAATGTTTACCCACGATTAACGATGACTTGTTCTTAGAATTCTTCATGCTACGTGGACTACTAACAACGGCCTAATGTAACATAAACCATGTGTTCATATAGTGAATGGGTTGTGTTGTAATAAGAGTCTGGTGGCCGCGGTTGAGATGTGACCAACCAACATATCCCAGATACTGAACCCCGTGAGAAGCTACCTTGCACGCACATCATATTCCACCAAGAGTACCAATACTACTGTGCTGATAACAATTGTACTGTATATGTTTTAGATATTTTAAAATAATACAAATTACATTGAAGCATTAAAATTTGAAAAACAAATCATAACCGCATTGGCATTACACAAATGAGGTTAAAATATTGGAGTACCTACCAAAGGTTGAAACATCGTAAAATCAAAGGATCTGGTACTAAATTACAATGGGATCTCATGAAGATTAGGAAACGCAGCGTAATTCGCCTGACGATTAAATACCCTAATTCCAACCTAACCAAATGTAAATCTAACCTCCCGCTTAGCGTAAGGGCGTCTATTCATCAGGCGAAACATGCGGGGTTCCTAATCTTCATGAAGATTAGATACCGTACCCCTATATATTTCCATGATGTAATGGCACGGCAATAACACTGTCAAGATAGACCCTCGAATAACTTGGTGCAATGCCACAATTCCATGAGGAATCGAATGTATTCACATGTCTACAAAACTCTTTGAAGATATGAAACAAATTGGGGGAACTGGTCAAGCTACAGGTTTATCCAAATGTATTTTTATAGTCACGTACTGACGTAGAGCTTTCAATTTATCAGTGACTATCACGATGCGAATAAAGGAACTAACAATATATATATATATATATATATATATATATATATATATATATATATATTTTATATATATATATATATATATATATATATATATATATATATATATATATATATATATATATATATATATACAGTATATATATATATACACACCTGTTCTTAATGTACCATCAAATCCGTTTTATCAGATATTATCATGTAAATTGATAGGAAATTACCATTGCAATAAATATATTTGCTAATTAGACATAATCCTGACAGCTCTGTCCTCTTGTTCAACCTTAATAGTGTACAACCCAGGTTGTACTGCTTCCCCATTATACTTATGTTTTTCAATTCCACTGTAACTTATGTAAAATACTTATAATATAAATGTAAAACAAAACAATAATAAATAAATAAAATAAATGAATATTGAAATGATGACAGCGCTAACATTCTGAGATGTTCTTATTATCACCATGCTATGTGCACTATTCCAGATGATACTAAATGTTACATAATACTTCCTTGAGATAAATGTACAGTATATATCAGGTGCCTACAGGAGAGCTCAGGTTCTCAACTGGCTCAGCCATGTTAATATTGTTATTATTATCCACTCTGTATCTGTGTTTTTTCTGGTTAAATAAGCTATTTCAATTCAATTAAATAGCGGACCGTCTGAAGAATTTGCACCCAGCTAACCTAACCTAAAGGTGAAACAAGATGGGGTCCAGATTCTTCAGGTAATCCCCCTTATCTTATTTCAAAGGCATTTTTAATAAAGGTTATCCTGCAATTGAATTAATTGATATTTCGTTAAAATGTTTCAGCTTGTTTAAAACACAAGCAATTTACTGTGTAGGAAATCGGAGGCATTCAATGAAGTATGTTTTAAATGTTTATAAAATTTCATGTAATGTTTAATGAGGTCGTATACCTGTATCAATACTGCACAGTACAGTAATTTACTTGGGGTCCTTAAATACCACACAGTATTCAGTCAGTTATGCATAACTGATTAAGAGATATGACCATGACTTGAGTTTACCTGATATAAAATTAATATGCATAGTGTCCACACAGATTCCCTACTTCCGGTAAAAAGTTCGTTAGACGTGGGTGAGGTGGTCGGGTTTCCGACCACTCTCGTTGGACAGATGGGCCTCCCTCCAAGTGGAAACTGGAACCAGGCACTACTATCAAGTAATGAAGTCGTAACTATACAGAGGAAAACCTTATCCTATTACAGTCTGGTTGCTTCGTGAATATTATGGTTATTACCCATGTAGCATCATGAAAGTTAAAGCACGTGTATTGTGTTTTTAAATTCAAACAGGCGCGCGAGCCGCGTGTTGGAAGGACGTGCAGGCATTCCTTGTTTGGTCAATGACTAACATAGAATATCATCAGCGACCTTGTCATAATGGAATTATCATGTTGGTTTTCTAAATTATTTGCAAAACTTTTCTTTGCGATAACTTGGAGGAAAAGAGATAGACAAGAACAAATTAGCCGCTTCTAAACATTAACAATACGACAAAAGCGGCTCTAAGCAACCTCATAGAGCAGCTGCCCGACTGGATGGGTGAACACAGGGCTACCAACTGAGGGCCATATTTCCGTCCAACCATAGCATATACTCACGATTATCTTTGGTAAAAATGTTCTCGCCACCACATAAAATATGTAAAAACAAAACACCCACGAAAATTAAAACAATATTGTCGAAATACATAAAAAGTTAGTTAACCATGGGAAACTCCGCGTCGGTGGGGTTGGTAGTGCTCACTACCATCTGGCAGGCTGAGCATCGCCTCCCGGGAAAATTCAAATAACGAAAGTTAGAGATGCTAGACCATATTAACCATTAATATTAGCCCTTGATCCATGTCTAACACCACCGATTAGTCTCAAATTATACTTGAAACTAATAAATTACCGATTGAAACCAGTTGACTGGGTCAGCGTGGAGGATAGGTAAGGGCGCGCGAGAGAACCAACAAAGGCTGGAGACTGGCCTCAGGCGATCCTGAAGGAATGCCGCTCACGCCTCGCTCTTGTAGGATCTACACACACACACACACACACCTCCACAATGTTAAACATGTGCAATTTAAACTACTACACACATATATCAATTCGTGTATAGTCAAGGGTACACTCATCAACAGTTAATGCGTAAAAAGCTATGACCATGAAGTCCTTCCAAACTTCGGAAGTAGAAAACTATAATTGTATGTACTTATAAATCAGTGGTTTCATCATTTAATCTCAACTCACTAGAGAACAAAACTAATAATAGTCGGTGTATCACCACAACTGGACTACAGTACTCTACAACTGATAAGGTAACTCAAGCAGCTACACGAGGATGATAATCTCCCGAGATATACTTGAGACAATCACTTGATTTACAAAACACATCAACTGATCTTTGCTCAGTGACCACAAAATGGTAAAAACATGTCTCGCATGCAAAGATGTTCCCAATGCTATGGCAATCAATGGTTCGTGAATAAAGGGTTAAGGAATCATAAATGAACAACTTAAAAGACATACTGTATGTACAAATATAAAGGATAGCTAACATACAATACAGGAAATGAATACAGGGGTGAATTGCATCCCTCTTCATTTCCAGCTCAGAAAGCAACTTTCTACTCACCTTCTACTGTATCTACAAATCTCCTGAGATAATAATTTGGAAATTCAAAACAAAACTGAACCAACTGTTGCTGTACTAACCATGAGAGGATGTAAGGAGACACAGCGTCCACAAGAGTATCCCCGAGTGCACGTGCATCTTGCGAGAGAGTAACATTTCGTTAGATACCATACATTTGGATAATCACATGTGGTCATACAACACCACAACACAAAACACCGAGTTTAGTTTTTCAAAGTCATGCCTCCGAACACACCGAACCTCACAGAAAGGAGTTACAACTCACACTGACAGTGACCACACGTTGTGACTTACGCTCCGCCTACGTCGATATTCCTCCGCCGGGTAGCATTGAAGTTCATACGAGAGGCATATTTTAATTTCTTTCCGAGTAACACATTGACTGAAGTATATTCATATATGTAATATTTGATATTTTTTGGCTAAATAAAAATACATTTATACTCTTAACTTTAGATATAACGTGTCCCTTGGCATCTCTAGAGAGAACTAGTTCATGTCAAGGGTTAACAAGCTCCGCCCCTCAGGAAAGTCAACTAATCAGAGTCGCACTAAAAAAAATAGTAAAAATACTGATTAGACGAAGATGGTAACATGTGCGGGTGTTTGTTTATCAGACCCTGTACGTTAAATACATTTTCTTACTCATACAAGGAGTAGTAAGCCGACAAGTGGCGAAGATGATAAAATCTTGTGGCATCTTCTCGGAGGTGAAATCCAATCAACTTTATTAGACGTATAAAGTAACTTTTGGTGCGTAATTTATTGATGGGTAAATACTTTAGTGCATGAATATGATTCACTTGGACCAATGGTTAAATGATTGCAAAAGAAACACAGACAAATAAATTTACTCAACGTATTGTATCGTCATGAAAGGAATTCCTTTCATTAAGTCCTTCGTGACAAAACGTTTGGAGTAAAGATCTCTCTCTACTTTAATGCATATTGAATACGTTAATTACTTGATGAATATTATTGCTAGTTTAATATTTATCTATAAATAGGGTGTATGCTGAATTCAGTAATACATTGTGAATAAATTTGTTTATTTGATTAAAATAATAATAAAAAATATCTGTATTGCATACATACGCGAATGTCACACTTGTCGAATGTGTTCCTAATTCATATTGATACTAAACACGAATGTACAGTATATGTCTTCTGAGAATTTCAGTATTATTAATATTTAACATTACTTTGGCGCTGTGCTTACCGACCACCTGCTGAAGACTGAAACAATAATAGTTAATATGTTAGTTTAACTCAACATGTTGACATACGAGGAACACCGCTGCTTCCACAGTAGTTGGCAGGGATGGCTTCTTGAATAACTTATACAGGCACTGTATACAACGAATAAGTTAACTATTCTTGAATACCCATGTATTCGCTGAATATAGTAATCACTGTCGAATATCCTACAATCGCCACAGAGATTTATATTCATTTAATACTTGTTAAGTGTGTTAGTAAATGATGTTTAAGTTGACTTCTCAGGACACACTCTACTGTATAAAACAATCCGTACGCACACTTAGTGCATATTCATTGCATACGCTCTGTATATATACTCAGTTTATACACTAATTTAATCCACACATATTCAGTATGCATACTTCTTCAGAATACATACCCAACAGATGCATATACATCACATTCACTGCCACAGTCAACATGTATCGCCACCACAGTCAGCATGCATCACTACCAAAGTCAATATATTTCACTGCCACAGTCAACATGTATTGCCACCATAATCAACATGTATCGCCACCACAGTCAGCATGCATCATTGCCAGTCAATATGTATCACTACCACAGTCAATAAGCATCACTACCAGTCAACATGTATCACTACTACAATCAATATGTTCAATAACAATCAATATGTATCACTACCACAGTTAACATATATCACTACCACAATCATTCAAGTATCACCACCACAGTCAAATTAAAAAAAATCAGTCACTATGTATAGTTAATGCTTATTTGCGTCCATTCTTCACTGCGCATTCATAAATGTGTCACTGCTCATTCACACATGTGTCACTCCTCGTACATACATGTGTCTGTTCGTTAATGTGCCACTGCTAGTTCATGCATGTATCACTGCTCGTGCATACACGTGTCACTGTTCGTGTATATGCCACTGCTAGTTCATACATGTATCACTGCTCGTACATACATGTGTCTGTTCGTTAATGTGCCACTGCTAGTTCATAATGTATCACTGCTCGTGCATACATGTGTCTGTTCGTTCATGTTTCACTGCTAGTGCACACATGTGTCACTGCTGGTGCATACATGCGCCACTGCTGGTGCATACATGTGTCACTGCTGGTGCATACATGCGCCACTGCTGGTGCATACATGTGTCACTGCTGGTACATACATGTGTCACTGTTCCTTCATACATGTATAGTATTATTACTCCTTCTTGCATAACTTAATATAATGAAAAAGTTGCGTTCACCAACTAAAAAACAATTATATTAAATATTACCAGAGGTTGAAGAAGTTTGAGTCGTAACTGCTGTACCTGTACTTGTTTTTTATTTATGAGATCTTGGACCTTTAATGAGGTATACAGTGCCGGATTAACCATGAGGCACTTGAGGCACTGGCCTCAGGCCCCGACTCTAAGGGGCCCCCAAATCCAAACATTCTCGAAGTTGAAGCATATGAAACATGAACTTCGTTCAACGATGTCCTAGCAATGTCTCAATTTTCTCTCTCTTATGAACATTGAATGTGTTATTTTGCAGAAGTTTAATATTGATGAAATCATTGATAAATGTTGGCATATTTTGTTCTTGCTATATATATATATATATATATATATATATATATATATATATATATATATATATATATATATATATATATATATATATATATATATATATATACAAGTAAATCACTGTGGGTGCGCGTGATCCAGGTATATGATGATAACCACAAGGAAAGAAGAAAACACGAAGTTCCCAAGCGCTTTTCAGTACTCACCCTGAAGATGAATTACACGAAAGCGCTTGGGAATTTCGTGTTTTCTTCTTTCCTTGTGGTTATCCTTTGCACATATATATATATATATATATATATATATATATATATATATATATATATATATATATATATATATATATATATATATACCTTGAGGGTAGGGGGCCCCAAGTTGATCTGTGCCTTAGGCCCCTATTAAGCTTAATCCGGCCCTGGAGGTATAAGCAATGAGCATTAACCTCCCTGGGTAATTTATAGCTCTCGGCACTTAGGGAAAGGTAGTCAGGTCAAATCGTAAAAGTTAAAGGAGATGGCGAGAAAATATTCAGTATCAAAACTGGCAAAGAAGTGTTTATTATCATATTTATATTTTCGTCTCATAGCCTGTGAAGCACACACACTACCAAGTGAACAAGGGCTACAAAGTCTAATTTATTAAGGGAATTAACTGCAAGTATTATAGACTGAATTATTAGATGTCGTAAATAATAAAACACAAGAATTATGATGAGTGTTGAGATGTCCCAGAGTACATACTGCTTTCACAATTAAGATTTCTTGAGACTGTCGGCGCTTGTCTCATGTTTCTTAATTTAATTTTATTTTGGACGAAAGTCGTACTGCTGTACTGCTCTTAATCAGTTAAGCCCGATTCACACTAGTCCGATTTGACGGCCGTCTCTAACGTCACATAGCAATCGATGACGTCATATCGGCCTGTAGATAGACGGCTAATTCCACAAAGTTCAAGGACAAAAAATCTAGGTACACCGTGCAAGAAGGATTTGACTATTCCGTATCTATAAAATCATGTGCCGTTTGTTGAGTGGGTGATTAAAACAATCAACCAGTAAGACAATAAACAATAATATTGTTTGTTGTCCAAATTTCACTGTTGTGTTCACCAAAGAGGCAGATCACAAAGGTTGCCTCATCGCAAGAATTAATGTCCCAATTCTACTGAAGTAGACTATACGTCAGCGTCCTGCCTCCACTTCCGCTCTGCCTTAATAACTTAAAACTTGTAAATTTGTATTTTGCTTACATTTGTCAAGTGAATGAACATATGCTTTATAGTGGTCAGACACTCGAAACATTCACAAAACTAAAAATTAAGCTTTAGATAAATTATTTTTAAATAAACATTTCTTGATACCCTTTCCCCCATTAAATTTTAGAAAAATAATTGCCATTTATAATCTGAAGGTATTGTATTATTTAGCACCCAATAATGAAATATGAAGCATTAAAAAATTTCATTCAACGCACATTCGTTACAGATGATAAAAGTAAAACTTGGTTAAAATGCTAACTTCTATTAAACTTTATTCAACTAATAATCATTTTAGAGTAACAAACGGCTTTCATATTGTTCTAAAAATAAAGAAACTTCTAAACAAGGAAATAAGCTATACAGTATACAGATTATTTTACACTAAAAGTACCAGCGGCTGTTGAAAGCAGACCTTAAATAATGATCAAATAATAGTAAAGAAGTTTTAAAGTGACGAATACATGTCACATTTTTATGTCTTCTATTTTATATTATCATTACTGTTTCGTGATATATTTAAATTTTTACTTAAATATTCAACCCCTAATATGAAACTCATTTGAGCACTAATCCGGCCAGCAAAGCTTGCCGCCAAACCGTTGTCATCTCCCAACAGTCGAAATCTTGCAGCTTGCTGGGCCGTCAGACCAGCGACCAGCATAAACTGCCGACATGTTGGGAGGAAAGTGTCCAATGTGCCACCGCCTTTAGTCAAAGAAGACAAGCATGAATTCCGCATACCTTTATTTTGGGCGCTGCAATGCTTTGGCGCTTCGCCTTGCGCAGGATGCAAAAGGGGGTCCCGGGTCCCCAATGAACTAGCTTCGGCGCTGGTGAAATCTGACGAACCATGTTTTGACTCCATTCCAAGATTGGAAACGACTCTGGTAAGTAGTACATCAAATTGGTTTAAAGTAACAGTTTGCACGCCAAAATGGTGTTATTTCATCATCCATATAGCAAAATCATCAATATCAGACAAACCAACGGTGGGTGCAAGATCTATTATAGGATGATCCTATTTTTGACCTTGGGTGGGTGATTCTACATTAACAAGCCGCGCGAAAATGTTGGCAAACTGTTTGCTGTAGTCAAGAAAAGATGCGGATAATGGCTACGCAGACCACTTTTACTAATCAAAATATATGTGGTATGTGGAAATAGTCAAGTTACAAAGATATGAATG